CTGCCACTGCCACTGCCACTGCCACTGCCACTGCCACTGCCACTGCCACTGCCACTGCCACTGCCACTGCCACTGCCACTGCCACTACCACTACCATCTTTATTTAACAATTACATGCACAGATAGTTCCGATTTTGTGCAATCTAAGTAAGTTGAAATGTATTTGCTCAACAGAACCACTTGTTATCTTGTCGTTACAAAGCTGTCTCTTGTACCAATCAAAACTGTAAGGTGACTGTGTTAAGGAAAGATCTGGATGAACATGTGGGTTTCCTGTGTCCGTGGCGGTTTACGATGTGTACATACTGCAATACACCACTTCCGAAGTGTCAGGAAGAGGTCAGTTTATGCTGAGATATTTAAGGCTAGAAAACTTCCAGGGTGAAGTCTCAAGTGATGTGGTGCAACTGTTTGGGCGAGTTTACACGAAAGGAACTGTTGTTGGTGACTGATGTTTCAACTGAACTACTGGTGCACCTGGTTTCAAACCATTTACTATGTTTAATGATGGTTTTTTTCACTTTTTCTAGTTTAGGGCTCCCTACAAGCATCTTATTAGAGTAGTTACTTGGATTGCAAAAATTCCACCATTTTATCATTAGGCTTCCAGCTGAAGTTCTGAATACTAGATACTCAATACTTGCTCTTTTTTATTCAGGAACATTACAGAGAATGTAAGAAGTTCCAAGTGGAATGTCCGCATGGTTGTGGTGCCAAGATGCAACGAGAAAAGGTGAATTGTGACATGCTTTGTGTTTTATCCCTCAATGGTTATTTTTACTATGTTTTTTTCTAATTTAATATGTTTTGAGACCATACATGTATGTTATTTTTTTGATTGTCTTTTTCTTCAATTCCTGTTGAAAAATCACTGGCAGATTATAAATGGAATCAGAGAGTTAAAAAAAATGACATCAACTGGTATTTATTTAAGTTACATGTAAAAACAACCTTATTACAGTGTAGGTTAGGTGTACCTCATTAATTCCATAATTACTTGGTGTGCACTCATTTTCTCAACCCAGGATTGGAAAGGGTAATTCATGTTTCAGGTGGGATTTTATAGGACCTGTACTCCTGTAGAATGATATCAACACAGGGCTGTTGATATAGTTTTGATTCAACTGTAGTCTTGATCTTTATACCCACAACAAACTTGTTACCTTTTGAGTGAACTGTATCAGCTGTAGTATGTTCACCTGTAATATCAAGGGCCCATCAGACACAATCAGCTGTAGCAGGTGTTACAGGTTACGGTCCTTATTAATAGCCCTGCACCATCACTGTATCATTACTGAGTCTCTTTCATTCCCCTTTAAAGCAATTGTTTGCCTCTGATTTATGTTCTTGTTTATTAAAGTTCTATACTGTTGATTTTTGTTGCAGTTGTCACATCATACTGGAGGGGAATGTCCACATGCACAAGTCTGGTGCCCATATCATCCAATGGGGTGTGAAGTGATGGTAAAAATTATTATTTTTGATTGTTTCTGTTTTGATACAGCACAGGCATTTCAGTGTTATTTAGTATATACCACATAAGTGAATAGTGCTTTTCGTGCGCTCTGATTGGTTAACTCGGAGGTGATTAGCAAGTGCTATTCACCTTCAAGCAGCCAGCGTGAGAGATTTTAAAATTTCCGACCACTTGTCACGCATAAAATAATGTTTCGGTCCGCTAATTATTCAGCTTGTGTGGTATATACTAAAAGAATTATTCACATCAGTGTCGGTGAAAATGATGGATATTTACCTCCACTTCGGTGAATAATTGTTAATTATTGCGATGTACATGTTACTTACCGTAAAATAACAAGGGAAGAGGTTTGCATGAAGCAAACTCACATCTGTGTTTTGACTCAATTCAGTTGGACATTGCTAATCTGAATTTGAGCTATTCATTTCAAACTGAAGTGGAAAATGAAATCAAGTTCCTGTTAGTGAATTCATTTCTTTGTTTTTGGCGGGAACTTGTAACCTGTTTTGACTGTAAAACCAAATGATAGATGAGTAGTGTGTGTTTGAGCACTGGCCAGCCCAGGGTCACTGTTTTTGTCCAATTGTGTTCTTGGGCAGGGCACTTTGCTCTTACAGTATCCACCCAGGTGTATGTCTGGGTACTGGAACCCAGCGATTACCAGTGGTCGACTATCATATCATCCAGGGGGAGTAATGATAATCCATGTCACTTCATACGGCAGAAACTGGCGTGAAGCCCAGCCTGATAAGCCTTCTAAGGCTTGTAGTCATAGATGTACATGTACTTTAGTACCCATAACCTCTGCCCTTCGCTGTGAAATACTCGTGAGTCTCTGTCTTAAGGTGGCTCCCTATAGTTTAACGATCGCACGCGCGCCAAGAACGAAAGCTCAGGTAATCTGCCCACGGTCAAGGGAAAACGTCGGTGTTTTTCGATATTTTATGACGTCAACAAGGGCACAAAAAGCAAAACTGACAGTCAATTTTCTCGCGTTTCCTTCGGTGAAATTCCGTAAAATTTGGCAGACATGTAGTCAATATTTTATTTTAGTCGGAGCTCGCTTTTCAGGGAAAACTATAAGACCAGTTTTTTCGCAGTGGTAAAAGACATGAATTTGCAAAAACTGAAAAAACTACCTTTACAAGCCCTACTTTTTTCCTATTTAAAATTCGTATTACGCTAAATGCGATTTGCTGTGAAAATTTTGGAAGATTTCACCGAAGGAAATGCAAGAAAATCACAAATAAAGTCATAAAAACGGCAAAAAACGTATTTGTTTGGGCCTTTATAATTCAAGACTAAAGCCCAAAATTTTTAACAGAGATGATAGTAAAATACTATTTAATCATTGGTTATTACATGTAATAAGTTTGAGAGGACTGGGTGTAAAATGAATGCAAAAACAGCATTCAAAACATAACACTTGCGCATGGAACGCCATAACTGATTACCCTGTGGAGCCACCTTAACCTACTCTGGGGCCCGTTTCTCGAAGGTCCCGAGAAGTTTCCGTACCCAGAAAGCCCTAGCAAAATCTCAAACCTTATGATTACGGAGCTGTTTTATTCACATATTCTTAATATAAACAGAGGTTCCATTCCGTACAAAAAATTTTAGGCGTACACATCCCTCTGTCTTTAAGTAGCGATTAACTAAAAATTGCGTTTCGGGCCCGAAAAGTTTCCGGGGCTCTCGAGAAACAGGCCCCTGGTGAGGTGATTTATTGTGGGCAGGTCTTTGCTCTCTGGTATCTTTAGCAGGGCTGCCACCTCAGGAAATGGCCTTAAAAAAATTTGTTGAATGGCAGAAAAATGAAAAAAAAAAAAAAAAAAAATAGAAAATTGAAATTTTGAAGAAAAGTTATGGAAAATGGAAGTAATTTAACACGGCTAATTAAATGTCATTGAAGGCTGGAAGGAAAAGTTGGGATCACTGTGAGCCCAACGGTGTTTTTCGTTAACGAAGAAGGAAAATCTGTTGAAAACTTATTAGTCTTGATGAATGGGTAAAAAGGACGGCTGTAAGAGGAGGCTCGGAAGCTGATATGTGACATTTTGTACTTATTTGGTCAGGGAAATTGTATTTTTTTTTTTTTCAGGAAAAAGTCAGGGTATTTGTATGTGGCAACCATGTTCGCAAAGGAGAAAGCGTCATTCTGACACTGATTTTTCTTTCCAGGTACAGAGAGAACAACTTGAATCACATTTAGACTCTTCTGCGAGACGCCATCTTGACTTGGCTTGTGCGAAACTAAACACCAATCAAGAACAGTATAAAGAAACAACCAGAAAACTCGAGAATAAAATCGAGGCACTTGAGAAGCAGTTCAAGGAGAAATTCCAGTTATTCGAATTGCAAATACAGTTAACAACAAATCTAGGTATAAAGCGAGATAACGAGATTTTAAAGCTAAAGGAAGAATCACAACCTTTTGTATGGAAAATCGAGCATTTCAGAGAAATTTCAAAGGACGCTAAGAGGGGAAGAAACACCGTTATATCTAGTTGTAATTTTTACACAGGACCAAATGGCTACAGATTAGTCTTGGATATGTACCCAAATGGTAATGGTGTGGGTAAGAACACACACATTTCTGTTTATGTTAAAATACTAAAGGGTAAATACGATGCTGTATTGCCCTGGCCCTTTCGAAAAGCTGTGACTTTTACTCTAATTGATCAAGAAGAAAATCGAATGCTCAATCATGTCATGACACTTTCCTACAACCAGGGTTATTCTGACGCGTATGCTCGGCCCGTAACAGATTCTAACATTGCAAATGGGTTTCCCACCTTCATATCGCACCAAGAGCTTCGAAGGAGACGCTACATTGATGACGACACACTGTTTCTGCAAGTGCAGACTGGTCCTCCATGGCATTGTTGAATTCTCACATCATGTAATGTTACTTTTCTTTTCTGGCTAGTTTTCTTAGCAAAACGTAGATATTGTGCATTCCTGTTTATTGCGGACACTGAGTGTTGTAAGATTTTGTCCAGAAAAGATTTTTTTATGGGAAAATAAAAAGGTTTTGTTTGAGAAAATAAAATAAAAAAAAGATTTTGTATGAGAAAAGAACAATATTTTGTACGAGAAAAACAGGTTGTTTTTGCTCTTCTTAAAAATAAACTTTTTTAAGTTAACCCGGGCAGTTTTTATAAGCACTTTTGTTGGTGTTCATTAATTATTTCAACCTGGTTTAGACTAGCGAAATTTGGTAACAAACAGGCTTATTAAGCGTAAAGAAAATATCAGCTTTTTGCTCATGTCGTCACTAGGGTCCTGTGTTGTCCATATTGGTGAATACGGGATCGGCAAGAGGTACACGTTTCCCATGTTCAGGGTTTCCACAGGTCAGGAATTGGTTAGGGAAAAAAGAAATTCTTCAAGGTCAGGGAATAGTCGGGAAATTTTATTTTGAGTCGGGGAATATTGACATTTTGAAGAAAAGTCAAGAACAACTGAAATAATTTAGCACGGCTACCGTCGAAGTCTGGAAGAAACATTTGGGGTCACCGTGATCTCAACGATATTGTTGAAAACGTATCAGTCCGTTAATGAACGAGTGGGGAGGACGGCTGTAAGTTGAGGCCAGAAGCCGCTACTAGATGTGACATTTTAAATTTATTTGGTCAGGGAAATATTAATTTTATCAGGGAAAAGTCGGAGAGTTTTGAAAAGTGACGTTTGTGGCAACAACGCCGGTTGTTTGCGTAATACGTGATACTTATCAAGGACTGACAGATCAGGGTACGAAGACGAGATCGAGTTAACGAGTAGGAATCTTGGATTTTTTACATTCAAGTGACGTTCGCAGAGTTCTCACTCCGCCCTCACTCTGAGCAGTTGATTTGAAGATCATTGCGGGATACAAGTTTGGATGAAAACCTTGCAATCGAAAGCATAGCTAGAAAGTTTGAAAGTCACTCACACCTCGATCTGAAGGTCCCTAGTTTGTCAGTGTGAACCAGGCTTTGAAGTTGACCAATGCAATTATAGACTGTTCACAGCCTCTATTCACGGGCGCGAAAGAAAAAGCGAGCGAAGTGAGCGTGAAGCACGCGTTTTGGGCTGGCGTCTAGTTCTCTCGCGATTCTATCTGTGCGTTCAACGATGGAATAAAAATACAGTCGAGCCTCCCCATACGTTTCCTGTGTACCGACAATATTCTCATATTACGGACACTTCGGGGACACTTCGGGGACACTTCGGGGACACTTCGGGGACCAGGTTACAGGAGCTATTGTTGTTGTTTAAGAGTGACGTTAGGTCTTTTTTCCTCATGTTCTTTTTAAAAGACTCAATATTCGAGGAGCCTGTCAATCTATTATCTAGTTTCGACCATATATGAGGTCCTTGATATCTAATCTTTAATACGCAACCGTCCAAGACTGATGGATTGATTAACGTTGTTTTTGGAAGAAAAGAAAAGGGAAAAAAGTCAAATGAAAGCCGGCAACTGCAAATGTAGAGTAGTTAAAGTCAGTTCAATAACTAATTAAACAAGTGGAGTTTCCAGATAGTCGTCCTGTCATCTGAAAAACGTTTTAAATTTTGTACTTGAGGTTCAAGCGGTTGCGTACAATTTAGAGACTGAAGAGGAGAGACATGTCAAAAATTCCGATGTTTCAGTCGTTAACTTCGTTTTTCTTTTCAAAATCGCACGAGAAAACCTTAGCACTACGGCAGACCTCGGAGGAACCTATCCCGAGTTCTGTAACTGCATGTGGTTATTGCTACACTGGCTTCTTATCGCTCCGTAGTTCCAAGAGCGAATTTCCCCCTTCCCCTCTCTTTGGGCATTTGTCTGGCATCAGGCAGGGAACATTTCCGGGAAGGAAATCAGCGTTTAATTAGTGTAATATTCTCCCCGCTGGGTATTGTTATTAATGACATGGTAATAAGTTATGGGGGAATCGCTATGACCTGGGACAAGCCCAGTTGCAAGAAGAGGTGAAAATTGAAGCGGACAGCTAGATCAAGCCCGACTTACTCGTTGGTGCGAGGGTGGGTCCCCAAACTCCTCTCTTTCGCGGCCTAAATTAGAGTGATGGGGTGGAATACGTATAAATTCTTTTATACTTTGCCCAATCCCCGGGTGACAATTA